AAAAAAAAAGAGTAGAGACGGGGTAACACCATGTTGGCCAGGCTGATCTCGAACTCCTGACCTCAGGTAATCCACCCGCCTTGACCTCCCAAAGCGCTGGATTACAGGTGTGAGCCACCATGCCCGGCCTCACATAGCATATTGATTTACAAAGAGCATCACCCTCCTCACTCCAGAGTTCAAAGCTGAGGTTCTGTGATGCTGACTCGGTTTCTCAGTCTTATGGGAAGGTGCTTTAATGCATACGTGATTATAATGCCCTGTATTTCCCAGTCGTCACAGAGTGGATACTCATCAATCAACCCCAAAGAAAGGTGACTGGGTGGACTACAGCTCAGGCATAAGGACGAATTGGGGATAGGCACGGTCACTTTCTCCTGTGGGGTTGGTGGGTGAGGAGGAGTTGGGGCGAATTACCCGAGTCCAGGCAGGACTGCAGCTGGAGCGAGGTAAAGGCAGGCTGGTGGTTGAGGCGATTTTCTGAGGAGAAGTGACTTACCTAAGTTTGCACTTCGTCTCTATGCTTTTTCTACAGACCTCGCCTCGCCCACAACGCCCTTCTACACAGGTGTCCTGAATGATGAGAAAGAAGCAGTTAAGATTATAGGGCTTGAAGCCTCAGACCCAGCTTTGAATATTGACTTGCCACTTTCTACCCTAGGCAAGCCGTTTATCTGAGGCTCAGCTTTTTTTCTTGGTAAACAGAACAAACAGCAGTCTGAAATTTATGACATTTTAATAACCAGGTTACGGTTAACATATTAGCACAATTAGCACTGTGACACCCCACCCCTCCCCCCCGCCCTGGACTCCTGCCAAACGTGGACCAGATGTTAGCTAACCCTGACATTCAAGTCGCAGTACCCCCTACTCTGTACTGTATTTATTTACTTTTAAATTTTTTAAATTTGAGACAAAGTCTCACTGTCACCCAGGCTGGAGTGCAGCGGTGCAATCTTGGCTTACTGCAACCTACCCCTCCTAGGCTCAAGCGATTCTCCTACTTCAGCCTCCTGAGTCGCTGGGACTACAGACACCTGCCACCACGCCCGACTAAGTTTTGTATTTTTGTTAGAGACAAGGTTTCACCATGTTGGCCAGGATGGTCTCAAACTCCCGACCTCAGGTGATCTGCATGCCTCGGCCTCCCAAAGTGCTGGAATTACAGGCATGAGCCACCGTGCCCGGCCCTCTGTACTGTATTTTAGAATGTCTGGAAAGAGAGAGAAACTTACCTAAATACCCCAAATGTATATGAGATTTTAGAGAAAGATCTTTCCAGCAAAATGGGGTAATGGGACTTTGTTCTTCAGAGGAATCTTTTGGTCCCTGGCTTTGAGCAGCCAAAAGGGAGAGGGTGGGGGAACCTAGCAAGCCCAGTAGCCAAGTGCTGAGCAGCAGTGGAGAAAAAAAGCAGAAAGACCAGGGAGCAGGATGGGAGGAATACTCACCAGCTTTACTCCTCACCTCCAAGATCAGACCCTGCTTGGGGCCCATGGGCAGCCACAGAAAAAAGAAGGCCACGCCCAGCCCCACGCCCCGTGGCCGTAGCTCTCGGGGAGCGCTGTCCATTGGCTGCACCTGGCTCTCAACGACCAGCCCCGGGATCAGGTGCTCTCTGCACCTGCATGACCACTTATACAGGTGCTGCTGCTTCGGAGATGCTGCCCTTCCCCGAAGACCTGTGCTCAGGGCGCCTAGATGCTTACCGCATTCACCTGGCTGTCCTGCGGTAATTAGTGTATGTGAGTGTGTGAGTGTGTGAGAGACAGAGTGTGTGTGTGAGGCAGTGTCTGCGTAAGAGACACAGAGTGTGTGTGAGACAGACAGAGTATGTGAGAGAGACACAGTTTGTGTGTATGTCTGAGACAGAGAGTGTGTGTGAGAGACTGTGTGTGTGAGATTGTGTGTGTGTGAGGGTATGTGTGTGAGCACGTGAGAGAGACACAGAGCGTATGTGAGAGAGAGGGAGTGTGTGTGTGAGAGAGTAAGAGAGACACAGTGTGACAGAGAACCTGTCTCAAAAGAAAAAAATTAAGGAATGCCTAATAAATGGAGAAATACACAAACTTCATGAATAGTGTTAGAAATAAAGCTTGGAGCTGTAAGGAAAAATGAGCACTTAGACAAAGGACTTTTCAGCAAAGCAAACTTGCTTCTGCAGGATGGGGTCATGTATAGAGAAATTGGTGAGAGCACATAGAGCAAAGGAAAGCAAGAGTTATTAACAAAAAACCCCAAAGAGGTTTTTTGTGACCCTTTGCACTCAGTCATCTACCTAAAACTCTTGGCCTCTGGCAACCAACCACTGACCTGACTTCGAGCACTGTAGTTTTATCTTTTCTAGAATTTCATGGAGACAGAATCATGCAGTATGTAATCACCTGTGTGTGGCTCCTTGTACTAACGGCTTCTTCCCCAGGGCTGCCTGATGACTAGGTTCTGATGAACTCTCAGCAGAGGCCCAGGGGGAGCTGCACTGCAGCTGGACTTCAGCCCCACAGAACTGTGGGGTAGAAAATGAGTGTGATTTCAGCTGCTGTTTATGGTTATTCGTTAAGACAGCTAGGGTGTTTTTTTTTTTTTTTAATCGTGAGTTGATGTTAAATTTTATCAACTTTTTTTTTTTTTTTTAGTTTTGCCCTGCCACCAGGCTGGAGTGCTTGGCATGAGCTCGGCTCACCGCCACCTCTGCCTCCCGGGTTCAAGTGATTCTCCTGCCACTGCCTCCCGAGTAGCTGGGATGACAGGTGCACGCCACCATGCCCGGCTAACTTTTGTATTTTTAGTAGAGGCAGGGTTTCACTGTGTTGGTCAGGCTGGTCTCAAACTACCCCTGACCTCAGGTGATCTGCCCGCCTTGACCTCCCAAAGTGCACGGATTACAACTGTGAGCCACCGGCCTGGCCAACTTTTTTTTTTTTTTTTTTTTTGCCTCTACTGGGTTGGTCTTCCTGCATCTGAAATGGCTCCTGCCAACGTCCCTTGTGTTCTAGTTCTTTTGTGTTACTGAGGCCCCGTTGTGTTGATCTGCAGGGTCCAGCCCAGCAGTGTGTCGTGGGTGTTCTTTTGTTTGCGCAGATGATAGATCGTAGAAAAGAAAAGAAACAAGGACACAGAGATACGAGAAGACTTCAGCTGGGCTCGGGGGACCACTGCTACCAAGGAGGCGGAATCCAGCAGTGACCCCGAACGCCTGCACACACTGATGTTGATTGTATACAGGGTAGGCGGCACGGTTGGTGAGTGACTCATCTGACGTGATTGGTAGGGGTCAAGCAAATCACATTCTTACAATACGGGGAGGCCACATGGGCATAGTTCAGGGGGCCACGTGGGTACAACACAGAGGGCCCCTCTCTCTCAGGTGGCCCTTTCAAGGAGGGGAGGCACATGCGTCAGTATCTTTCTCTGCACTTATCAGAGAGATCAAAGGCTTTTAGGATTCCTCTATTCCTACTTCTCACAGCTTCTAAGAATTTACAAGGGAGCATTGCGTGGGAAAGTGGAACAGGAAAGTGGACGAGGATGGTGACCGTCGGAGCACAGCACCACAGAGAGGTGTTTAAACCCCTGGATGTCTGCGGGCCGGCCTGGCCCGTGTCAGACCTTCCTCGACAGCCGCAGGGCAGTTTTCTCTGAACTCCCCAGTGAGCAGGAAATGCCCCCTCACGGCCTGCTAAGTAATGGGCGCCTTCCCAGACGCTGGCGCAAGGCTCTCACCCTCGCCTCCTGATGACTTCTCACAATGTCCCTTCAGTTCCGAATTACATTTCACCCGATTATGTCTATAAGACTAAAATGTTTCTACACTAAAGCAAAGATTAATAGAGAATGAGGTAATAAATAAGATTGATTATGGAACTGATTATGTGATCGAATCTAACATCTATGTGGCGTCATTTCTATAACTAAGCAATCAGTCATTTGTTACGCGGGGACAGGTTGTACCTTCAGTCTCTGCTGTGGCACCTGGGCCGCTTTCTTCCTGCATGGATCTCAGCACCGGCCGTCTGCAGGCACATCCTCTCATCCACTGGTCTTATTATCCGTGATGTCAACTTTGAGCTCTTGGCTAAGGCACCATTTGCCCTGTTTCCCCCACTCTCACGTTGTGATTCACGCGTAGCGTCTGCGGAGAACCTTAAAGACTCACGAGGGTACATCGGCCTCATCTACTGGTTTCAGCACCTGCTGATGGTTTCTCCAATGCCACATTTCATTTATTTGCTCACTTTTAAACTGTGTGCTTGGTAATCTACCGTAAGGGAGCATTTTACCCTTTTCTCTATTTTAGCTACAATTAAATAGATACATTATTTATATCATTATGACTCATGGATTTTTCTTTTTTTTTTTTTGAGATGAAATTTCGCTCTTGTCACCCAGGCTGGAGTGCAGTGTCGTGATCTCGGTGCACTGCAACCTCCACCTTCCCGGTTCAAGCGATTCTCCTGCTTCAGCCTCCTGAGTAGCTGGGATTACACGTGTGCACCACCATGCCTGGCCAATTTTTGTGTTTTTAGTAGAGACGGGGTTTCACTGTCTTGGCCAGGCTGGTCTCGAACTCCTGACCTCAGGTAATCTGCCTGCCTCAGCCTCCCAAAGTGCATGGATTACAGGCGTGAGCCACCGTGCCCAGCCAGATTTTTCATTTATTAGATTATTATTTGTTACTGGGGCAGGGTAGGTAGTGAAGGAATTAAACATGTCCTTGGGATGTGACAGCTAAGGCAACCACCCCATCAACTTAGTAAGCCTCAGTACTTGCATTGCAGCTCAGCTCAGTGAAGCAAAGCTATCTTCATGAGGAACTTTCCCCTGTAGAGAGCGTTCGAACCTTTGTAGCGGGAAATCAGAGATTTGGAGAAGCCGGTAGGGTCGAAGGAGGATTTTATTTAATGTAATTACGGGCTTGGCGGAATTGCTTTTTAATTCTGGGCAAAGGACAAACAAAATGGGTGCCTTTTATACACCTGGGTGGTACAGGCTGACGAAGCAGAAAGCAGGTTTACAGAAGCCAGAACAAAGAGCAGTTAATTAACCGGTGACATATTTTGTGACGTACTTTACATTGGAAAAGTAACATTTGAGAAACACATTTTGCAGTTTTGAGTGTATTTGCTTTGTGACCTTGCAGCTGGTTAGCAAGAAAACCAGGAATTTTTAGATGCTTGAGAACTTTGCTAAGAATGTGGGGAGGGTAAATAAGGTCCAGTAGTTTGCAGGAAGGCAGTTATTTTACCTTAAACAGAGCTGGGGGTGTATTATATTAAACGGCACACAACACAGCAAAATTTATTGTATAGCAACTACGAATTATAAGGTTTTCTTTTACTACTATTGCTGTTATTTAATTTCCTTCATTTTGACTTTACCTGTCCTCAAACTGAGCTTTTGCTCATTATAATAGTAAAAATTACACCTCTGGGTGGAGATTTAAGATGCTAATGAAATGTGACGTATGAACAAGTATTACAGCTGCTGCGCATTTGCGCCCAGAGGAGCGCCCAGAACATGGTGACTAGGAACGCCTCTTTCCACCTCCTTAGGAAGAATCGTGTAAAACTTCCATAAAGGGAGTCCCCTGAGCGCCAGCCTTTGCTGTCTCATCCTTATGAAAGCATGCTGTGAATTCTCTCAGAATGTCCTGTCTATTCTGCACCTAACTTGCCCACCTGCAAGGTCATAGGGCAGATAAAGCCTGAAGAATGTAAAATGTGTTTCTCAAGATGCTATTTTTAGAATGTCAAGCACACCACAAGGCATGTCACAGGTTAGCTGCTGTTTGTTCTTGGTCCGTAAAGTCATTTCCTGCTTCGTCCTGTATCACAGAGATCACATTAAATAAAATCCTCCTGCTTCCCCATCAGTGCCTCCAAGTCTCTGATTTCCCACTTCACTTTCTGGCACAAGATGTTCCAGGCCCATTCTATACATTCCCAGCACCAACTGTGGTGTCAGCTCTTTCTCTGAAGATTCTGAGTCCCTTTAATGAAGAATATGGTACTTAGAAAACAATACCTGAGCACCAGTGTGCTGTTTCTATGATACCATGGCTTCTAGATGTAAGTTTCTTTTTCATGGCTGTATAGTACTCCACTGGGTATAAGCACCATGTTTTCTCTATCCATTCATCTGTTGGTGGACAGTTAGGTTGCTTGCAAATCTTGGCTATTGTGAATAGTGCTGTAGTAAACATGGGAGTGCAGGTATCTCTTTGATTTACTGATTTCTTCGGGATACATACCTAGCAGTTGGATTGCTAGGGTGGGGTTGAGGATCCCAAATGCTCTGGCTTTTGAAATGAAATTGCTTCTGAATTGAGAAACCAACCTGGATGATACCTGATTGCTACACTGTACAAAGATGGATGTTTCAGAAGGAAAAAAAAAAAAACAAAAACCCACTGTGATTGCTTTCTAGATCTTTGAGTTATAAATGCTGCCATAACTAATTTAAGAATGTACCAGTTAGTGGCTGGGTGTGATGGCTCACACCTGTAATCCCAACACTTTGGGAGGCTGAGGTGGGCAGATCACAAGGTCAGGAGTTTGAGACTAGCCTGGCCAATGTGGTGAAACCCTGTCTCTACAAAAAATATTTAAAAAATTAGCCAAACGTAGTGGTGGGCACCTGTAGTCCCAGCTACTCAGGAGGCTGAGACAGGAGAATTGCTTGAACCCGGGTGGCAGAGGGCAGAGGCTGCAGTGAGCTGAGATCGTGCCACTGCACTCCAGCCTGGGTGACAGAGCAAGACTCCGTCTCAAAAAGAAAAAGAAAATGTAGTAATTAGTTAGGACCTTAAAAAATTAAGAGTTACACTTCATTTTTAGAACTCCTTAAACATGAGGTGATTTCCTTCTTTCAGTACTTATGTATTATCTTCCTTAGACATTCCTTGTGTATACTTTCCCCAGACACGTTAAGGAACAGGTTTCTTCCTTAACAGTTGATGGACCAGCCCACTGGTAAATAAATAACACTCCAAAAAATTTCAAATTGCATATATGCATATGTTAATTAAAAATTTTTTTAATATTCTTGAAGATATGAAGACATATCTCCAAGAGGAGATGTTTACATCACATAGTCAAAGACGTTCTGGCAGCCAGGAGTAGATGTGGGTTGAAACTCGCCTTACCTTGGTGCCCCCAATGCAGTGACTAATTTGTGTGTTAACACTTGACACTCCATACGTTGAGGGAGCTATTTGGAGGTCATGGCCTACACCAGTTCCCAGAACTAATGGAGCCATTCCAGACTCAGGACAGTCCACAAAACAGGCAACCATTTCTCAATTTCTCCCTAGGAAAAACAACATATCCAGAGGGCCACCAGATCCAGCACCAGAGGGTCCAGATGGATTCGTTTCTATTGCTTCATCGTAGCACTAAGAATGCCAGTCCTGTACTATCTTCAGGAAGTCTCCTTTCACGGTAGGGCCCTCCAGTCTTGCCAGCATATCCACTTCGTTACTGTCTTTCTTCTCCCTGGGAAGGATAAAAACAAGGTTTCGTTTTCTTACATTTGGTTTTCTTTTGGAGCCCCCCCCAAAAATACGCAAAACCTCTAGAACACAAATTTACCACCTAGGAGGCCACCCTGGCCCCCTGCAGTAGGTCAAGATAAATAGGGGTGCTCTAAGGAGCTCAGGAATGAATTCAAAGTGCCTGGGGTTCAACCAAGTCAGCCTCAATGATCCGTCCTCCTGCTAATCACACCCTTGTATGGCTCCCTTTCTCACTGGACCAGGGCTGGACTGTGTGGCCAATAGAACAAGGCAAAAGCAATGGATGTCACTTTCATGGTTAAGTAATAAAAGACTGTGGCTCTGTTTTGGGCTGTCAATCATCTCTCTTGGCCACCGTCTCCTTCTGCCTCTGCCTCTCTCAGCTTCTGGTTCTGGAGGAAGCCGGCTGGAATATCATGAGCAACCCCCTGGAGAACAACGGAGGCCCCTGCCCACAGCCACACAAGTAAGCCTGGAAGCAGATTCAACAGCCCTCATCAAACCCCAGCCAGTGGCTCAACTGAGACCTTGTGAGAGACCACAAGGTAGAACCACCCAGAGATGTCACTTTTGTATCTCTGACCCTCAGAAATTGTGTAAGACAATACACCTTTATATTGCTTTAAGTTATTAAGCAATGAAGTAATTCATTGCATAGAAATAGATGGCTAATACACCAGGAAAAATTATATCCTTCACCCAGAACCCAGCACTGGTTGAGAACATGTGTTGGGCACTGTGCTAAGTGCCGTGTGTGACTTTTCTTTCAGCCATCATAAAATCTCCATGGGGAAGATGCCATCCCAATTTTATAGATGAGCAAATCGAGGCTCAGAAAGATAAGCTAACTTGTTCACAGCTACATAACTGGTAAGTGGCAGTAACAAACTCAGTCGTTTAAGAAGAAAAGGTGAAGAAACGAAGAAAAGGGAAGATGAAGAAAAGAAGAAATATCAGAATCCCGGTCAATGGCTCCTTTAAGTAAAAGTAGGAGTTGGGGGTTTGAATGGCTACTCTGAGGAACAATAAATCCCCGGGAAGCAAAAGTGGAATGGTAGCAACACCTCAAGTGTAGCATTTCAGGTCCACCATCTCACTTTCTATTTTTAGAGACAAGTTCTCACTCTGTTACTCAGCCTGGAGTGCAGTCTGCAGCCTCAACCTCCTGGGCCCAAGTGATCCTCTCACCTCAGCCTCTTGAATATCTGGGACTATAGGCATGTTCCACCATGCCTAGCTAATTTTTGTATTTTTTCGTATAAGACAAGGTTTTGCCATGCTGCCCAGGCTGGTCTGAACTCCAGACTCAAGTGATCCACCCATCTCAGTCTTTCCAAGTGCTGGGATTGCAGGCGTGAGCCACCGCACCCAACCCAGCATCTCACTCTTTACAAGGAGCTCTTCTTGGGTGACTGTTTTTGCACAGGAAACCTCGTGGAGACTTACAAGATGATCTCTCTCTTCTTTTGGCTTGGGAGGGCATCGCACAAGGTCAGAATGCCATGGACTCTGATCGCATTCTTACTCAAGTCCAGATGTCTCAGATGTTGGTTTTCACGGAGCATGGAAGCCATGGCCTGGTAGCAGCTAGAGGTGAACAGGCAGTTTTCCAGCCTGTGACACAGAAACAGATGGCAGAGAAGTCATCACGACTCATCTCAGAGCTCAGCTGGTGTGACGGCTTATAGCCAAGAGATCACACTATGACAAGAATGCATGATGTTGTCCCAACTCTGTTCTATGCACCTACAGTCCCATCAGCTTGTGTCCTTTGGGTGATTTCAGAGCAGGCTATGAAATTCCTCACTCTAAGAATTTATGAGTCGAGTATATGTTTTGAAAATGGCTTGTGCATACTTATCTTGATTTATTCAAAAGATATTTCATTCCACCTAGTGGACATTTTTGACACATGAGTGAGCAACACATACCATCCTTGCCTTCCTGGATTGACTGGGCAGGGTACTGAGGGAGGAGACAAATACATTTATTCAAATAGCATGGTTTTATTGTCCTAATGGGCCAGGTGTTTGGATCTTTAAAAAAAAATTTTGGAGACTGAGTCTCATTCTGTTGCCCAAGCTAGAGTGCAGTGGTGTGACCATGGCTCACTGTAGCCTCAAATTCTTTGTTTCAAGCCATCTTCCTACCTTAGCCTCCCTAGTAGCTGGCACTGCAGGTACATGCCACCATACCCAGCTCGAATTCTTCTATGAGTAAGTCACTTTGCCCTCCCATACAGAACTCACTGAACAGTTGGGGAGGCACATCTACAAATAAGTGGCCTCAGAGAGGTGCTGCGTCTCATAAATACAATGCTGGCACGTAAGAGTCCTTGAGCAAAGAGTAAAATTCATGGACTATTAGATCAATGGGTTGTCATAGGAGTGGGATGGGCGGCCTTATAAGAAGACGGAAAGAGAGCTGAGCCAGTATATGGCATGCTCAGTGACTCATTAGTGACCCTGCAGAGAGTCCCCACCAGCACTAAGGCTCTCACCAGATGCAGGCCCTCCACCTTTTCTTTATTAGTCATGCAGTTACAGGTATTCTGTTATAAGCAACAGAAAACAGACTAAGACAGATGGGGTCCGTGAACTTTATGCTAAGACAAGTTACTGCTCATGGCTGAAAGCAGATTAAGAAATAATCTCACACAAGCAAAGGCTTAGAAAATACTGCATAAACACTTTCAAGTATAGAAAGTTCTTTCCTACCTGAAAATATATTTCACTCAATCTGAGATAAACCAACATTTAAAACCCAAGACTAAATTTGAGGAGTCAAAGAATCATGACTGGCCGTGAATTCATACTGAATTTGAGAAGCAAATCATCAACAAAAATGAACATCATTATCCAAACCAATCCTAGAAATGAAAGATACACTATAAGACAATGATTTAAATGAGCTAGATTAAAAACAAACATTATACTAATGGAGAGCAGAAAATTTGGGTTGAAGGAGGAAATAGTAGATTCATTTTTGATCATAAGAGAAGAGATGTTTACAAGTCTTTTCCAAATACTTAAGGTAACCACTCAAAGAATTAAAAAGCGAATGAATCCTTTTATATCACTGGCTGGAATACATGTTAGCAAAGAGACCATTAAGAAGAGGGAAATAGACATACATTATATATTTTCATATATAATATGTTAATAGAAATTTTTATGTATTATATAAAATATATATTTACATATATTATATATTTGTATAGAATATAAATTATATATATATAAATATATAACATTATAAGTATATACTATGTAACATATATTTACATATATTATATATTTATTTATATATACTTATATAAAGATAATATATACTTATACATATAATATATAAAATAAGTATATACATATAATATATAAGTATGTATCTGTACATATATATGTGTATAGATACATAAAAGGCCCCAGCCATATATATCTCCTAAGTATAAAACTCAATTTCAGAAGACCAGTCATCTGAAGTGTCAGTCTAAAACGGACAAACTCTTTGTTATCTTTTGTTCAACTGGAAGAGTATTTTCTAAAACAATTGTTAACACTGATTGCTGCATCCCGCCCACAGAGTTTCTGATTCACTAGGTCTGAAGTGGGGCCCCAAAATGTAAATGTGCCCTGACCAGGTGAAGCTGCTGCTGATCCACACTTTGAGAACCACTGCTCAGAAGCTTCTGAGTTCTCCAATTCAATGGAGGGAACAATCCAGAAACTGAAAAAGACAACGCTTTCCTATCGTATCTTCCATCCTGAGAGAAGCTTATCTACAATTCTCCTGGTCTCATGGGAGGAGCGGAGGGGCCACTTACTCCAGGATCTGCAGTGTATAGTCAGGATTCTTCAGGGCCTCGCACAGCAGGGTCACGCCATCATCCTTCAGGCTATTAAAACTCAGGTCAAGACTTTTCAGGGTTTTATTTTTTCGGAGCGCAGAGATCATATCCTGACAGCAATCAAAGGTCAAGTCACACTTTCTCAGCCTGCAAAGAAACATGGGTCAAGAAAAAAAAAAACGAAAACACCCTTAGGTTTTACTTCTTTGTTTTGGGTTCTGTTTTTGTGGTTGTTGTTTTTGTTTGTTTTTTGCATAACGGCATAACCAAGATGCAATTAATGTAACACACAACTCACCCATTTAAAGTGTAAAAAACACTGGTTTCCAGTCTATTTATAAAGTTGTACAATCATCACCACAATTTTAGAATATTTTTGTAAGTTCAGTTTAGAATGTTTTATCACCTCAAAGGAAAACGCTGGACACTTTAGAAGCCACTTCTCACTTCTTCCGCCAACACCCCCCAGCCCTAGCACCACTAATTTGCTTTCTCTTTCTGGATTTGCCTATTCTTGACACATCATTTAAATGGAAACATCTGTGACCTTTTGCGTTTAGCTTCTTTCATTTAGCATATTTTCAAGATTCATCCATGTTGTAGCATGAATCAGTCTTTCATTTCTTTTAGCAATTAAACAACATTCCATCACATGAATACACCATACTTTGTTTATGCCTTCATCAGTGAACAGACATGGGTTGTTGCTGTGTCTTATGGTTATTATGAGATGGGTATTATGACCAATGCTGCTGTGAACTTCTGTATGTAAGTCTTCATGTGGAGGTAGATTTTTATTTCTTTTGTGGATATACCTATAAGTGCGACTGATGGCTCAAGAATTAAGTCTGTGCTTCACCTTTTTTTTTTGAGATGGGGTCTCGCTGTGTCACCCAGCCTGGAGTGCAGTAGTACAATCTCAACTCACTGCAACCTCTGCCTCCTGGGCTCATGTAATTCTCCTGCCCCAGCCTCCCAAGTACTGGGATTACAGGTGCCTGCCAACACGTCCAGTGAATTTTTTGTATTTTTAGCAGAGACAGGGTTTCTCTAAGTTGGCCAGGCTTGCCTCGAACTCCTGATGTCAAGTGATCCACCCACCTCAGCCTCCCAAAGTGCTAGGATTACAGGCATGAGCCACCACAACAGCCATCTGTGCTTCACCTTTTGAGGAACTGCCACGGCTTTTTTCCAAAGCAGTGGTGCCATTCCCTGCTTCTTTTTGGTAAGCTAAAGGTATTAATGTTTCAGGGGGTATTATGCTCCACCTCATGCCTTTCACAAACATTTGCAGAGATTTACTCCGCTTTGGGCATTGAATTAGAGGACGGGAACTCACACAGGCAAGGACCCTGCCTTTTAGCAGCTCATATTCCCATGTGAGGCAAAAAATAAAGAGGCAGATTCAGTGGTTATGGTTCAGTGATGTCCCAGTAAACTGGCTCTCAAGAGCAAACAGACGAAAGCTTAGCGTGTAGTGACTGCCAATTTCCATGGTGTAAACACTTCTGCCATGGCTGATTTCAAGCTATGACATTGACGTCCCTGCATATGGAGCTGGCAAGAGACTCATACTTGGCTCCCATATACCATGGCTGTGATAAATACTTTGCAGGAAACAAACACGGCAACAGGATGGAAAGCAAGCTGGCTGAGGTGGAGTGAGGCTGGACTGCTTTAAATAGAACCATCAGAGGTGGCTTCTCTAAGGTGAACCTGATTCAGGACCCAGGCAGTGAAGGGGCGGGGTAACAGTACAGCAGGTATGAGGTGGCCACAGCCTACCCATCTGAACTGTACTTAAAATGAAGAAGGAAATTAAATAATGGCAATAATAGTAAAACAGAACATTACAATTTGTAGTTGCTATATAATAAATTTGGCAGTGTTGTGTGCTGTTTAATGTAATACCTTCCCAGCTCTAAAACAGAATATTAACTGCTTCCCTGTAAACCATTGAACCTTACCTATCCTCCCCACATTCTTTGCAAAGTTCCCTGTCATCTACAAGTTCCTTTGTTTCTTGCTCACCAGCTACAAGGTCACAAAGCAGACAGGCTCAAGACCGTGGAATGTGTTTCTCAAAGTGTTACTTTTCAGATGTAAAATGCATCACAATACATGTCACAAGTTAATTAACTGCTCTTTGCTCTAGCTTCTGTAAAATCCGCTTCCAGCTTCATCATCCTGTACCACCCAGGTGCATAAAAGGCACCCCTTTTCTTTGTCCTCTGCGCAGAATTAGAAAGCAATTCTGCTGAGCCCGTGGTCATGTTAAACAAAATCATCCGGCAACCCCATCGGTCTCTCCAGATCTCTAATTTCCTGCTACAAATCACACCCACTTTGGTGTCTCACCCGTTCCAAAAGGCATCTTGTAGCTTCTCTCCCGAAGTACTTTATTGCATTAAATCCAAGTTACCAGTTCGCTTTATATCCACATCTCCCAGTTGATGTTTTCCCCATTGTAATTTGTGGCTTACAAATGAGTTAGGAATTGGTGAAGTGGGTGGCAATAAGCACTTTAACCAATGAAAGAAACCCAGAATAGTAAGCGGGTGCTACTGGTATCTCATTGATGGAATCGGGGGTCTAGAAGAGGCCGGGGTTTCTCATTCCCAGCATGATTGACTTTTGGGGATTGATAATTCTTTGCTTTCTGGGCCACCCTGTACACTGTAGGATGCTTCATAATATCCCTGGGCTCTTCTCACTAGCTGCCAATAGCATTCTCTTTTCCCAGGTCATGCCAACATGAAATATCTCCCAACATTGCCAAGTATCCCTCAGAAGCAAAAACACTCTTAATTGGAAATCACTGGTCAGGCATGGTGGCTCACACCTGTAATCCCAGCACTCTGGGAGGCCAAGGTGGGCAGATCACCTGAGGTTAGGAGTTCAGGACCAGCCTGGCCAATGTGGTGAAACATGTCTACAAAAATATAAAAATTAGCCAGGTGTGATGGCAGGTGCCTGCAATCCCAGCTACTCGGGAGGCTGAGGCAGGAGAATCGCTTGAACCCAGAAGGCAGAGATTGCAGGGAGTGGAGATCATGCCACTGCACTCCAGCCTAGGTGACAAGAGTGAGACTCCATCTCAAAACAAACAAACAAACAAACAAACAAGAAGTCATGCAAGTGACGGCTCAGGTTGTACACAGTAGCAAGCATCTGCCTTCATTTGCAGGGCTTGTGGGCACTGATCTCCTTCCTTCTCTTGTGGGATTGTGTGTTGCACGGTCTGGCGTGGAGGAAAGACCACCTCTCATCTCAGATGGCAGAGAGGCTCCTGTTCCCATGTTCCCACTGGTCAGGGTGCAGGCAGGTGATCTAGGTTCACTTGCCGCAAATGCTGAGGCTTGTTTCTCAAAGACATGGCATCATCAAGAGGAACATGGCACACCTCCACTCTGAATCCTGAGTGACTGTGCCCAAGAGGAAGGGACTCTTGACATCGCCCTTGGTGGACACAGCTGGCCGTGAACGCTCGTGATAGGAAGAAAGCGTGATGGGTGCCGAGTGCCTCCCTCTCCCTAAAGTCAGCTCCTTCTGTTATCTGTTAAGTCTGTGAGCTCCGCCTGTCCACCCAGTAAACTATCTCTGTCTCTTGATCTCTCCCTCTCTCCCTCTCTCTTCCTTTCACTCCCTCTCTGTCTCTGTCTCTGTTAGTCCAAATAGCACCATTCTGTAAGCTCCCGCTAGCAGACCTTGGTCAAAGTGAAACATTTCACAGGGGTTCAGGCTGTGAGAAACATCCTGCTTACATCTCACATGCAAAGACATACATAGACTCAAAATAAAGGGACAGAAGATCTACCAAGCAAATGGAGAGCAAAAAAAAGCGCAGGGATTGCAATTCTAGTTTCTGATAAAATGGACTTTAAACCAACAAAGATCAAAAGAGACAAAAAAGTGCATTACATAATGGTAAAAGGACCAATACAACAAGAAGAGATAACTATTTTAAATATGTACGCACCCAATACAGGAGCATCCAGATACATAAAGCAAGTTCTTTGTGACCCTCAAAGAGACTTAGATTCCCACACAATAATTGTGGGAGACTTAAACACTCCACTGTCAATATTAGACAGATCAACGAGACAGAAAATCAGCAAGGATATCCAGGACCCGAATGCAGAACTGGAACAAGCAAACCTAATAGACATCTACAGAACTCTCTAGCCCAAAGCCACAGAATACACATTCTTCTCAGCGCCACATCACACTTATTGTAAAACTGACCACATAATTAGAAGTAAATCACTCCTCAGCAAATGCGAAAGAATGGAAATCATAACAAACAGTCTCTCAGACCACAGCGCAATCAAATTAGATCTCAGGATTAAGAAACTAACTGAAAATACCACAACTTCATGGAAACTGAATAACTGGCTCCTGAATGTCAACTGGATAAACAATGAAATGAAGGCAGAAATAAAGATGTTCTTTGAAACCAATGAGAACAAGACATAACGTACCAGAATCTCTGGGACACATTCAAAGCAGTGTCTAGAGGGAAATTTATAGCAATAAATGCCCACATGAGAAGTGAGGAAAGATCTAAAACTGACACCCTATCATCAAAGTTGAAAGAACTAGAGGAACAAGATCAAAAAAACTCAAAAGCTAGCAGAAGACAAGAAATAACTAAGATCAGAGCGGAACTGAAGGAGATACAGACACAGAAAACCCTTCAGAAAATCAATAAATCCAGGAGCTGGTTTTTTGAAAAGATCAACAAAATAGACAGACTGCTAACCAGATTAATAAAAAAGAAAAGAGAGAAGAATCAAATAGATGCAATAAAAAATGATAAAGGGGTTATCAGCACCGACGCCACAGAAATACAAACTACCATCAGAAATTACCACAAACAATTCTATGCACATAAACCAGTAAACCTGCAAGAGATGGATAAATTCCTGGACACTTGCACCCTCCCAAGACTAAACCAACAAGAAGTTGAAACCCTGAATAGACCAATAAAAAGGGCTGAAGTTGAGGCAGCAATTAATTGCCTACCAACCAAAAAAATTCTAGGTCCAGACAGGTTCACAGCCGAATTTTACCAGACATACAAAGAGGAGCTAATACTATTCCTTCTGAAACTATTCCAAACAATACAAAAGGAGGAAATCCTCCCCAACTCATTTTATGAGACCAAAATCATCCTGATACCAAAACCTGGCAGAGACTCAACAAAAAAAGAAAACTTCAGGCCAATCTCCATGATGAACATAGATGCAAAAATCTTCAATAAAATACTGGCAAACTGATTGCAACAGCATATCAAAAAGCTTGTCCACCACAATCAAGTAGGCTTCATCCCAGAGATGCAAGACTGGTTCAACATATGCAAGTTCATAAATGTAATCCACCACATAAATAGAACCAAAGACAAAAACGACATGATTATCTCAATAGATACAGAGAAGGCCTTCGACAAAATTCAATATCCCTTTATGCTAAAAACTCTCAATAAACTAGGTATCGATGAATGTATCACAAAATAATAAAAGCTATTTATGAAAAACCCACAGCCAATATCACACTGAATGGGCAAAAACTGGAAGCATTTCCTTTGAAAACTGGCACAAGACAAAAATGCCCCCTCTCAACATTCTTATTCAATATAGTACTGGAATTTTTAGCCAGAGCAATCAGGCAAGAAAAAGAAATAAAGGGTATTCAATTAGGAAAGGAGGAATTCGAATTGTCTCTATTTACGGATGACATGATTGTATATTTAGAAGACCCCATCATCTCAGCCCAAATTCTCCTTACGCTGATAAGCAACTTCAGCAAAGCCTCAGGATACAAAATAAATGTGCAGAAATCACAAGCATTCCTATACTCCATTAACAGACAAACAGAGAGCCAAATTAAGAGTGACCTCCTATTCACAATTGCTTCAAGGAGAATAAAACATCTAGGAATACAACTAACAAAGGATGTGAAGGAACTCTTCAAGGAGAACTACAAACCACTACTCAAGGAAGTAACAGACGACACAAACAGATGGAAAAATATTCCATGCTAATGGTTAGGAAGAATCAGTATTATGAAAATGGCCATACTGCCCAAAGTAATTTATAGATTTAACACCATCCCCATCAAACTACCCATGACCCTCTTCGTAGAACTGGAAAAAAACACTTTAAACTTCATATGGAACCAAAACAGAGCCTGCATAGCCAAGACAATCCTAAGCAAAAAGAATAAAGCTGGCGGCATCATGCTGCCAGACTTCAAGCTATACTACAAGGCAACAGTAATCAAAACAGCATGGTACTGGTACCAAAACAGAGACATAGACCAATGGAACAAAACAGAGGCCTCTGGAGCAACACCACACATCTACAACCATCTAATCTTTGACAAACCTGAGAAAAACAAGCAATGGGGAAAGGATCCCCTGTTTAATAAATGGTATTGGGAAAATTGGCTCACAATGTGCAGAAAGTAGAAACTGGACACCTTCCTGACACCTTACACTAAAATTAAGTCCAGATGGATTAAGGACTTAAACATAACACCTAACACCACAAAAACTCTAGAAGAAAACCTAGGCAAAACCATCCAGGACATAGGTATAGGCAAGCACTTCATGACTAAAACACCAAAAGCAATGGTAACAAAAGCCAAAATAGACAAAGGGGATCTAATTAAAATTCAGAGCTTCTGTAGAGCAAAAGAAACAATCATTAGAGCAAATCAGCAACCAACAGAATGGGAAAAAATTTTTGCAATCTACCCATCTGACAAAGGGCTAATATCCAGAATATACAAATAATTAAAACAGATTTACAAGAAAACAAACAAACCCATCCAAAAGTGGGCGAAGGATATGAACAGATACTTTTCAAAAGATGACATATATGAAGCCAACAAACATATGAAAAAATGCTCATCATCACTGGTCATTAGAGAAATGCAAATCAAAACCACACTGAGATACCATCTCATGCCAGTCAGAATGGTGATCATAAAAAAATCTAAAGAAAACAGATGCTGGAGAGGATGTGGACAAATAGGAACACGTTTACCCTGTTGGTAGGAGTGTAAATTAGTTCAACCATTGTGGAAGACAGTGTGGTGACTCCTCAAGGATCTAGAAATAGAAATTCCATTTGACCCAGCAATACCATTACTGGGTATATACCCAAAAGACTATAAATCATTATGTTATAAAGACACATGCAGATACAGGTTTATCACAGCATTGTTTACAATAGCAAAGACCTGGAACCAACCCAAATGCCCATCAATGATAGATTAGACAAAGAAAATGTGGCACATATACACCATGGAATACTATGCAGCTATAAAAAATGATGAGTTCGTGTCCTTTATAGAGACATGGATGAACCTGGAAACCATCATTCTCAGCAAACTGACACAAGAACAGAAAATCAAACACCACATGTTCTCACTCATAGGCAGGTGTTGAACAATGAGAACACGTAGACACAGAGATGGGAGCATCACACCTGGGGTCCATTGAGGGGGCTAGGGGAGGGATAGTGGGAGAGAGGGTGGGGAGGGATAACATGGGAGAAATGTCAGGTACAAGTGATGGGGGGATGGAGGCAGCAAACCCCCTTACCATGAATGTACCTATGCAACAATCTTGCATGATCTGCACATGTACCCCAGAATCTAAAGTACAAAAAAAATTTCTAGCTCCCTTTCTAGCCTTGTGCATTTAAAGGAAATTACTTCACCTCTAACTATAAGCAGCCAGATACAGCAGCCAGTAAAACACAGATAAGACAGCTCAGGCACAGAGGGAGGTGGGGGGAAGGTCTCTTGGATAACTGCCAAACTTCACGCTCATACAGTGGGCCTCAGGAAAACAGTGGGCCTTCATAAGCACAATCCTTTCCCTTCAGGTGCGCTAAGATAGGGAAGCTAAAAGCAGACTTGGAGGTGTGCCTGCAGCTGCAGGAAGAGGTATGGGAACAGACACACAACTCTCCCACCCAGAAAAGCACAACTAAGATACACAGAAGCAGTCCAAGCCTCGGATAAACTCTCCCACCCTGAATCCCTAAAAACTCTTAGTCTGTAAGAGAGTGTGTCTCTGACTTAACTCGGCCAGAAGCCCCTCTCATGTTTCTTTTCTATAAAATAAATCTGTTCTTAACTGTCAAGCCACCTTTTGTGTTTCCTCTGTAATTCTTATACCTTGAAGTAGTAGCTCTTACAGTGATGAACAGATGTCAATTTACTTTAAATTTAAAATAACCTGCAGTCCCTCTGAGTTTACTCCTGGGTATCTTGGTACACAGTTTGAGAGCTCTACCTCTAGATAATTTGCCTCTGAATCAGAAATAACAACCCTCCTCTTTATTATGCTTTTCCCCTCAGCACCAGCACCATGCCTAATACGCAGTAGGCACTCAATAAATATGTGACATAAATGAATATATAACAGGTTCTCTTCATCACTCTGTTCAGCTCCAGGGAGTTCCAAGAAGAAAATATTCTTGGACTTACACCAGCCTCTGCAGAGGACATCTCAAGTGTTGCAAAGCTTTCCAAATATGCTTGGCCCCTTCATCTTTCAAGGCATTCTCCGCCAGGCTCAGGTGTGTCAGCATCTTACTCTGCCTGAGACAGGAAGCAAGGCTTTCACAAGTAAGCTCTGTAAGGTTGCAGTTCTCTATCCTATGGGAGAGAAGCACACAGGTGACTGAATGGAGACAGGTCTTTCTCTCACACAGAGGAGTGGTCACCTCAGTCGGGGCTCTCCCTCTGAACACAGAAGCATCCTCACACCTCTGTCATCACCATTCAGGACTTCCAAGCTTTAAAGGAAAGGACAGCAGCTTTGATGTGGGAATGGCAGGGTGAAAGAATTGTGGATCAAGAAAATCATTAGACTGAAAAGCTTCTGCACAGCAAAGGAAATAATCAGCAGAGTCAACAGCCCACAGAGTGGGAGAAAATTTTCACAATCTAACCATCTGACAAAGGACTAATATTTAGAATCTACAAAGAACAAATCAGCAAAAAAAAAAAAAACCCATCAAAAAATGGGCTACAGACATGAATAGACAATTCACAAAAGAAGATACGCAATTCCCAAAAGAAGATACACAAATGGCCAAAATGTATATGGAAAAATGCTTGATTTTTTCCATATTACAGAAATGCAAATCAAAACCTCAATGTGATATCACCTCACTCCTGCAAGAATGGCCATATTCAAAAAATAAAAAAATAGGTATTGGCATGGATGCAGTGAAAAGGAAACACTTTTACACCACTGGTGGGAATATAAGCTAGTACAACCACTACAGAAAACAATGTGGAGATTCCTTAAAGAACTAAAAGTAGATCTACCATTTTATTCAGCAATCCAACTACTGAGTATCTACCCAGAGGAAAAGAAGTCATTATATGAAAAAGATACTTGCACATGCATGTTTATAACAGCACAATTGACAATTGCAAAAATATGGAACCCAAATGCCTATTAACCAACAAGTAGATTAAAAAAATGTGATGCACACACACACACCATGGAATGCTACTCAGCCATAAAAAGGAATGAAATAATGGCATTTGTAGCAACCTGGGTGGAATTGGAGACTATTTTTCTAAGTGAAGTAATTGGGGAATGGAAAACCAAATGTGGTATGTTCTCACTCCTGTGGAAGCTAAGCTATGAGGACGCAAAGGCATAAGAATGATACATTGGACTTTGGGGACTCGGGGGAAATGATGGGGGATTTCAAGGGATAAAAGACTACACATTGGGTATGGTATACAGTGCTTGGGTGTTGGGCACACCCAGAAATCACCACTAAGAAAAAGCTTATTCATGTTGCCAAACACCACCTGTTCCCCCAAAACTATTGAAATAAAAGATTAAAAACTGAAAAAAAAAAAAAAAAAGACCGGGTACAGTGGCTCATGCCTGTAATCCCAGCACTTTGGGAGGCCAAGGCAGGCGGATCACCTGAGGTCAGGGCTTCGAGACCAGCCTGACCAACATGGTGAAACCCTGTCTCTACTAAAAATGCAAAAATTTGTTGGGTGTGGTGGTGGGTGCCTGTAATCCCAGCTACCCAAGAGGCTGAAGAAGGAGAATCACTTGAACCTGAGAGGTAGAGGTTGCAGTGAGCTGAGATCACACCACCACACTCCAGCCTGAGCAACACAGTGAGACTCCAACTCAAAAAAAAAAAATTAAAAATAGAAAATAAATACATGGGATTAAGAGGGAAGAGAAAGAGACCATCAATAATCAAAGAATAAATAGCAGACAATGGAGATGGCTTAGGAAGAGACATAATTTCAGAAGTTATAAGAAAGGAAAGATGCATTAAATACATGAGAAGACATGTAAATTAGATAAACTAAGATGAACAGTCAGATTATTAAAAAATAGTCACTAGTAATCAAGAAAATGCAAATTAATATAATAAGGTACCATTTCCTGCTGAACAGATTGACAAAAATGGCAACAAAAATACAATAATTACAAGACTTGGTTAAGAATGTGGAGTTTGGGGCACTGTCCATTGCTCTGGCCAATGGGTACACTATGGAAACAAACATGGTAAAATTGAAGATGAATGCTCCACGGCCCACCAATTCTGTTCTTAGAATATTCATCACAGCATGTGTGCATGTGCGTGTGTGTGTGCATGTGTGTGTCTGTCTGTAGCTAAGATTGAAAGCAGCCCAAACCTCAGCTGGGTAGAATGAATAACTAAATTCTTGGATATTCATATCAATATCATTCTGTAGTGAAGAGGAATTAACTACAGAAGCAACTAACCAGATGAACACTAAGATACAGATCAGGAAAAGAACACATCACAGGTGATTCTTTTATGTAAAAAAAAAATTTTTGAGACAGAGTTTCACTCTGCCATTCAGGCTGGAGTGCAGTGGCGAGATCTTGGCTCACTGCAACATCTGCTTCCTGTGTTCATGCGATTCTCCTACCTCAGCCTCCCGAGTAGCTGGGATTACAGGCATGTGCCATCACACCTGGCTAATTTTTGTGTTTTTAGTAGAGACGGAGTTTGACCATGTTGGATTGGCTGGTCTTGAACTCCTGACTTCAGGTGATCCATCCACCTTGGCCTCCCAAAGTGCTGGGATTACAGGCATGAGCCACTGCACCTGGCTCTTTTATGTAAAATTCAAAGCAATGCAAAACGATGTGATGCCTGTTTAAGGACACATGGGTAGTAATGTTAATACTATACATAAATTAAGGAGCCTGAGCAGCCTGATTCACTATGTCTTCACAGTGGGGTCGGGGGCAGGGTCGATAAAACCCGTGAGGACAGGGGAAAACAGAACTGAAGAGTTCTATTTCAGAAACGGGATGATGGCTACACAGGGCTCATTATACTTGATATATTACTGGATATTGGATATAAATCCATAATTCTATGTAGATAGGTTATTTCTCTTTCATTCTTGGCTGGACCCTTATTGACCTATCTATAGAATTATATCAATCACAAGACTTAGGTTTCTTCCTAGACGTGTACCTTCCTCTATGACTACTTTTCTCACAGAAGCACTAAATCTAACAAACCACCACCACAACCACGACCACAAGCATAGCCACAGAAGGGAGACTTACAACAGCCTCTCCAGCTGGCCCCCGGACAGGTAATATGCCCCACAGTTCTCCAGGGAGTTTTTTCTTAGCATGAGAGTCTTCAGATGTCTGTTACCTCGAAGATTATTGCCAAGATAAGTCCAAACTCTAGGGGTGGCCAAGCAGTCTTCCAACCTGCAGAAACCAGACACAGGTGCTGAGCCACAGCTCTAGGGAAAATGGTTCTCACAGAGCCACCTGGACCCCACCGCCTCCCATCTCAGTGTGCACAGCAGAGACCTGGGGGTTATTTCCAACTTTCTGGCCAGTGCCCCTGCATCAAGCTCAGGAATTTCCTACCAAATGATCAGCAGAAAACAGCACGCTCTTGGGGCTGTAATCAACTGGATTACAGAAACAACTGAGCTCTAACTATCTCCATTCAGCTCCTTGAAATACAAACTTCAAAAAAAGCTGGAAAATGATAGTCGTGTATATTTATGGAGTCCAGTGTAATATTTTCATTGATGTGTACATGATAGAAAGAGTCAATCAAGCTAATTAATATATCCATCATCTCACCAACTTAATTTTTTGTAGCGAGAATGTTAATAATCTACTCCTTTAGCAACTTTGAAATAAACAATGCATTATTATTAGTTAGAGTCACCCTGCTGTGCAATAGAGCTCAAGGCTTATTTCTCCTGACACTTAGTGCATTTATTTGCCACTCATCATCAAGGTGAAAAACTGAAATCCAGTGGCACTAGAGCACTTTTCCTGAGCCCCACAGCCACTGTCTTCTCAGGCTGGATTTCGGCCTCAAGGTGGGCTGTTTATATAAAGGCATTCAGTGAGGCACTGTGCTTACCACCTCCAGGTTCCGGGCACCTGAACTTTCTGTTCTGTGCAAGTGAGGTAATGAGATGCAGAGATTACCTGTAAGCTGCATTCAGTTCTGGTGAATGTAAAGGGGCAACGTTGGCAGATGAAAACAAAACGAGAGGTCAGACAAATTCTGTTGAGAGAACGTTCACACACAGCAAGGCTGGAAATTGGGGTCTGAACTAAAGGTAGAACTACCATTCGATCCAGCAGTCTCACTACTGGGTATCTACACAAAGGAAAAGAAGTACTTACATGAAAAAGACTTGCACATGCATGTTTATAGCAGGACCATTCACAGGTGCAAAGATAGGGAACCCACCCAAGTACCCATTGACCAAAGAGTGGATAAGGTCTATACTCAACATGGAATATTACTCAGCCATAAAAAAGGAATGAAATGGGCTGGGTGTGGTGGCTCATGCCTGTAATCTCAGCACTTTGGGAAGCCGAGGCAGGTGAATCACCTGAAGTTGGGAGTTCAAGACCAGCCTGACCAACATGGAGAAACCCCATCTCTACTAAAAATACAAAATCAGCCAGGCGTGGTGGTGCATGCCTGTAATCCCAGCTACTTGGGAGGCTGAGGCAGGAGAATCACTTGAATTGGGGAGGCGGAGGTTGTGGTGAGCCGAGATCACGCCATTGCACTCCATCCTGGGCAACAAAAGCAAAAAACTCTGCCTTGAAAAAAAAAATGAAAGGTGTCTCTTGCAGCAACTTGGATGGAGCTGGAGGCCATTATTCTAAGTGAAGTAATTCAGGGCTGGAAAACCAAACATCGTATGTTCTCACCTATAGGTGGGCGCTAAGCTATGACAATGCAAAGGCATAAGAATGATATAACAGGCTCTGGAGACTTGTGGTTGGGGTGAAGGTTGGAAGGAGGCAAGGGATAAAAGACTTCCTATGGGATAAGGTGTACACTGCTGGGGTGATGAGCGCACTACAATCTTAGAAACCACTGCTAAAGAACTTATCCACATAGCCAAAAACCACCTGCACCCTAAAACCTATTAAGATAAACAATCCCAAAAAAATGGAGTCCGAGTAGGTGCATGGCGGTAAGTGTTTAACCACTGACGTTCTTGAGAAGGAAGTCCTGATGTGCAGTGTTTACCACTACCTGTGGGGTAAATGCCTCCACCGTGGCTGGTGTTCAGCTCACAGTGCGAGGTCACTGAGTGAGGAGCAGTGCACCGTGACATCGTGTTTGCATCAAATGGGTATGGCAGGCGGCAGCAGCCCCCAGGGCACTGCTCAGGAGCTGGCAAGCTGTGGCTTGTGGGCCTCCTTTGGAGTGCCACATGGTTGTCTATGGCATACCAACTAAGAATGTTTTAGAAAAAAAGCACTCTATGTATATTTTTTGAGATGGAGTTTTTGCTCTGTCGCCCAGGCTGGAGTGCAACGGTGTGATCTTGGCTTACTGCAACCTCCGCCTCCCGGGTTAAAGCAATTCTCCTGCCTCAGCCTCCTGAGTAGCTGGGATTACAGGTGCACGCCACCACACCCAGCTAAGTTTTGTATTTTTAGTAGAGACGGGGGTTTCACCATGTTCACCAGGCTGGTCTAAAACTCTCAACCTCAGGTAATCCACCTGCCTCGGCCTCCCAAAGGGTTAAGATTACAGGCGTGAGCCCCTGTGTCTGCCCCCCAAAAAAGAATAATATTTTGTGACATATGAAAATTATATTAAATTCACATTTCAGTGTTCATAAAGTTTTATTGGAACACAGCTGTAACTATTTGTTTACGTACGAGCTCTGGCAGCCTTGGCACTACGGTGGTAGAGTGCAGTCTTCATGACAGAGACAGCATGGCCCCAGAGGCCAAAAGTGTTTCTTATCTGGCATGTCATAGAAAAAGTTTGCTGAACCCTAGCAGTCATAACAATGAACAGTAAAATAATTAGAAAATGATGCATTTTGATAACCTCTGACTTTTGTTGTTTAATATACTTGTAAGCCCATAATTTAATTTTTTTAAATGTTGTTTAACAATTGGTTCACGAAATTCCCCAATGATTACAAATTAGCTCTTGCAGACTGCCATGTGATCTGGCAATGCACAGCTGGAAATATATCTTAAAGAAAGGAAATCAGCCTGTCAGAGAGAAGTCTGCATTCCCATGATGTCTGTTCTCAATAGCTAAGATTTAGAAACAACTTAAGTGTCCATCAACAGACAAATGGATAAAGAAAATGTGGTACATATACACAATGGAGTACTATTCAGCCATGAAAAAGAATGAGATTCAGTCATTTGCAACAACATAGATAGAACTGGAGATCATCCTGTTAAGTGAAGTAAGTCAGGCATAGAAAGACAAACTTATTTGTGGGATCTAAAAATCAAACAATTGAACTCATGGACATAGGGAGTGGAAGGATGGTTACCAGAGGCTGGGAAGGGTAGTGGGCGGGTCGGGGGCAGGGGAAGGTCAGGACGGTTAAAACCGTTTATGCCTAGACTTCCATAACTGGAACACTAAGCATGTGGGAGTTATTTATATCCCACTGCTCAAGGTCATCACCAAGGTCTGATTGAAAAAATTAAAAAGAAAAATTGTAGCCTGAGGCATAAATAGGTTAACAGGTTAAAAAAAGAATAAGACCTAGTATTTGCTAGCATAACAGAGGAAATATTATAATAAATTGTACATCCTAAATTAACTCAATAATAAATTGTACATTCTAAATTAACTAAATAAGTTATACATTCTAAAAGAACTCATAGGTAAACAAATGGATACAACTGTGTTCCAATAAAACATTATGAACACTGAAACATGAATTTAATATAATTTTCAGCATAAATTATTCTTTTAATGATGTTTTTTGACCATTAAAAATTTTTTGGGGGGTCGGATATGGTGGCTCATGCCTGTAATCCCACCCCTTAATAATAAATTGTATATTCTAAAGTAACTAAAAGTATAAATCGATTATTTGTAACACAAAGGATAAATGTTGAGGGGCTAGATCCCCCATTCTCCAAGATGTGATTATTTCACATTACAAGCCTGTGCCAAAACATCTCATGTATCCCATAAATGTACACACCTACTATGTACCCACGAAGATTGAAATAAACAGTTAGGAAACATCCAGCTCTTGCAATCCAGCAGGAGCTGCTCCAGTTCACTGCTGGGGCTCAGGCTTCCTGGTTTCAGACAGGTCTAGAGCATGGTCAAATTGTACCTTTAAAGTCGAACAAAGCTGACAGCAGATCAAAGGAAAGGAGAGGGGAAAGCTGAGCCTTTCGTCACCACCCCTGAAAAGACCATCCAACTACCCTGGTTCCCGCTCGATCCCCATCTCAAATCTCACCTGAGACACTGCAGATGGCACCGTGGGGATCTCAGCGCTGTGCAGAGAAGCTTAATGGCCTTCCACTCCACTTCCACGTGTTGTATTTCCAAGTATCTCAGGTGCTTGCTCCCCATCAAAACACTGATTAAGTCCTTGTTCAACACGGTGCGATTCACACGCCGTAAGCTGGAGAGGGAAAGTGTCTCCTTGTAATAGGGTCCCATCCAGGGTCATGGAATTCTGTGGCCTCACAAATAAGGCTCCCTGAAGCTACAGCTGCATGTGGGACAGGCACCATCCCACCCTCGGGGGGTTTACAACTGAGTTCAGGCCATTGAAGAGTGACACAAATGTGTGATTATTCGGGTCCTATCGTGGGAAAACTGTAAGTGAGCCTGAATGACTAACAGGATGGGAATTGTATCAGGCTGAGGTCTATGAGGTCTTTCCTAAAGCAAAGGGAAGGTCATCCTATTCCTGAAGGATTCAGAGGAATTTTTTTCCCCACACTATCCTAAAATCATGCTCTTCCTGTTTTAAAATTTTTAGTTATATTTCTTTTTCTTTTTCTTTTTTTGAGACGGAGTTTCACTCTTGTTACCCAGGCTGGAGTGCAATGGCATGATCTCGGCTCACCGAAACCTCCGCCTCCTGGGTTCAGGCAAGTCTCCTGCCTCAGCCTCCTGAGTAGCTGGGATTACAGGCACGCACCACCATGCCCAGCTAACGTTCTCTACGGAGTTTCACCATGTTGACCAGGATGGTCTCGATCTCTTGACCTTGTGATCCACCCGCCTCGGCCTCCCACAGTGCTGGGATTACAGGCGTGAGCCACTGCACCTGGTCATCATGCTCCTTTTCTAAAATCAGCAACACAGATTTGCCCTGCACCTCCAATGCTTGTGTTCACTTCTGAATCTCTTTCCCCTTCAGCTAATTAGTTGTTTAATAACAATTTTCTTGAGGTATAATTGATAAAGAAAAACCTGCATACACTTAACGTATACAACTTGATGAGTCTGGGTGTATGCACACATCCGTGACACCATTACTACCATGGAGGTGGCTAACTAGTTCTTATACATTTAATCAGTCCATAAGGAGGGGGTCCTTTTGTGCAACACAGAATTCAGAACTGAGTTCTTGGCCAGGCAGAGTGGCTCATGCCTGTAATCTCAGCACTTTGGGAGGCCAAGGCCAGTGAATAAGGAGGTCAGGAGTTAGAGACTATCGCGACCAACAAGGTGAAACCCCATCTCTACTAAAAATACAAAAATTAGCCACGTGTGGTGGTGCGTGCCTGTAGTCCCAGCTACTTAGGAGGCTGAGGCAGGAGAATCACTTGAACCCAGGAGACGGAGGCTGCAGTGAGCCGAGATCACGCCACAGTGCTCCACCCTGGGCAAGAGAGAGAGAGAGACTCTGTCTCAAAAAAAAAAACAAAACAACAACAAAAAAAACACTGAGTTCTCATCTCAGCTCAACATCCCTTATTACGCCATCTTACACAAGTCTCTTAATCTCTCTGAAGTTCAGTTTCAGGTCTACAAGGGAGCGCGTAAGACATTTTCTCCTTAGGATGGCTGTGAGAATTAATCCCATTAAATTCTCAGCCCAGTGCTTGTCACATAGTAGGCCCTTGTGAGCAGGAGCGAATAACAGCTATTGTAATAGGAGAGAAAATATATCTGATAATGGCCAGGGCTCATGTGATGCCTGGTGGCTTATGTCAAGGAAGGGGCCAGGGGTTCACAAAGCGAATTATTGGGTTTTTGGATCTTAAAAACCCTGGAGAGATAGAGTGTGGAGTAGTGGCTAAGAGAACTGATTCTGGAGCCAGATTTTACTGCTTAGTAATGATGCAACTCATGCCTCGCTGTCTTCATCCGTGAAAAAAGGACACCTACTTCTTGGGGTGAGTCTTAAGAGCATTCATATGCTAAGGACTTAAGATAGCCTAGCAGACAGTAGGCATTGCATACATGTTCATTCTTACCTCATTCAAAATAGTGGCTGGTTGTGGTGGCTCACACCTATAATCCCAGCACTTTGGGAGGCTGAGACAGGTGAATCACCTCAGATCAGTTTGAAACCAGCCTGGACAACATAGGGAGAGCTTGTCTCTATAAAACATTAAAAAAAAATCAGCTGTGCCATGGTGGCACATGCCTGTGGTCCGAGCTACCTGGCAGGCTGAGGTGGGAGGATTGCTTGAGCCCAGGAGGTCAAGGTTGCAGTGAGCCATGATGTTGCCACTGCACTCCAGCCTGGGCAGGAAAGCAAGAACCCACCTGAAACAAAAAATGAAATAGTGTTTCCCCTCCTGCATGTAAATCTCATCCTTCCCAACCCAGTTCAAACGTGCCGTCTCTGGTGAGGCTTACCCCACGCAGGGCACTGCTGATGGTGGTGTGTTAGACAAGCACAGAGTGTGACTGAAGAAGATGAACTCCAGGCCGTCTGTGGTGGAGTGCTTTCTGAAGGCTTGTCAGACAGTATCTCAGACAAATCGATTAACCTCTCCAGCTCTCACTTTGCTAAAAAATGGGGGCCGGGCATGGCAGCTCACCCCTGAAATCCCAGCACTTTGGGAGGCTGAGGCAGGCAGATCACTTGAGGTCAGGAGTTCAAGACCAGCCTGGCCAACATGGTGAAATCCGGTCTCTACTAAAAATACAAAAATTAGCTGGGCACGGTGGTGCATGCCTGTAATCCCAGCTACTCTGGAGGCTGAGGCAGGAGAATCACTTGAACCTGGGAGGGGGCGGTTGCAGTGAGCTGAGACTGCAGCACTGCACTCCAGCCTGGGCAACAGAGTAAGGCTCTGTCTCAAAAAAAGGGAATTATAGTACATATCAACACTTCAGAGGAACACAGCGGTGAACTGTACGCAGTGCTTAGATAGCACATGGCTTCTGTAAGGCGATGTCCCTCCAGAGTAACAACCTCACCCTGGGTTATGCAGTGCTGATCCCGCTTCAGGCATGGTCCTACAGGCTTTTCATGCAGGACTATGCTTACTCTTCCTGTCATAATGGTCATTTAGTTTTATTTATTGTTGTTTGTTTTGAGACAGGGTCTCACTGTCGCCCAGACTGGAGTGCAGTGACCCGATCAGGGCTCACCATCACTGCAACCTCTGCCTCCTGGGCTCAGGTGATCCTCCCACATCAGCCTCCCAAGTAGCTGGGACTGGTCTTGAACACCCGAGCTGAAGCAAATAGGTGTGAGCCACGGCACCGGGCTGATCATTTGATGGAGGGATGCGTTGAAGTGCACCAGGGAGGTGCCAGGAATCCCATGACTCATGGTATACATGACTCACTTAATGACACAGAGGTATTAGGCTGGTGCAAATGTAATTGCAGTTATTGCCACCAATGGCAAAGACTTCCTTGCATAGAATTCCTTCCAGTGGGATTTGTGTTATACTCACAGTAGCTTTTGTAGTTTTTGCCACTAATGGCAAAAACCACAATTACATTTGCACCTACCTAATAGAACTTAGTGACAGGTCAAGCTGGCAGGCTGGCTCCAGTTTGTGGTTTCCCCCACCGAGCACCCCACGACTCAATCCTCCCGCACCCTCCACCCAAGGCTGGACATGTTGCCTTCGGGAAGTCTAGTGTGAGTGGAGAGGGAAGGAAGAAAGTGGATGGAAACAGACGCTCTCCACAGAATTCCTTCCAGTGGGATGTGTGTCATACTCACAGTAGCTTTTGAAGTTTGCACTGAGGGTGCTTCAGTGCGGCAGCAAGAGCCTTCAGAAAAGGAGGCTGTAAAGCACTGCTGGTCAGAGTCAGGACTTCCAGCTTCTTGTTCACGGCAAACACAGAGCATAAGTCTTGCCACCAGTGAAGGAGCTCATTGCTCTCTGGTGCTCTACACGGGAGAAAGAAGAGCCAACGCCTCATCGTTAAACCAGAGAAAACCGACCAGGAAACCCAGGGCTGGTGCTCTCAACCCTGGTTAGGGCCATAGGTCTCTGGTGACTCTAAGACATCCTCATTTAAATGAAACACTCAGAAAAACCATCGCGAGACTTTTCATGTCATTCCGGGGAGACACATGGCCTCAAGTAAGAGCCCTGTATTTTCCCATGACTTGGAAAAAAGGAAGTTGCTTTTATTTTTAATTTTTATTTGTTTTTTTGAGACAGGGGGTCACTCTGCCACCCAGGCTGGAGTGTAATAGTCTGAACACAGCTCACTCTGCCTCCGCCTCCCAGGTTCAAGCAATTCTCCTGCTTCAGCCTCCTGAGTATCTGGGATTACAGGTGCCCACCACCACGCCCAGCTAATTTTTGTATTTTTAGTAGAGATGGGATCTCACTATGTTGACCAGCCTGGTCTTGAACTCCTGGCCTCAAGTGATCCACCTGCCTCGGCCTCCCAAAGTACTGGGATTACAGGTGTGAGCCACCGCACCCAGTCTGTTTCTTTTAATTCAAGATGGAAAAGATGTTTTTACTTAAGGAAAAAGATGCTGTAGAGGTGTGCTGCCCGATACGGTAGCTATTTACGTTTAAATTCATTAACATTAAATCTAACTTAAACATTCCTTTGCTTGGTCACACCAGCCACATTCCAAGAGCTCAGTGGTTGCATGTAGCCAGTGGTTCCCACATTGGACAAGACGGACACAGGATGTTTCCATCATCACGTTAAGTTCCACTGGAGAGCACTTTACTTGAGACCAAAAGCTTCTGATACACAAAGGTGGGAGGGAGGCTGGGCACAGTGTCTCCCGCCTGTAATTCCAGTGCTTTGGGAGGCCAAGGTGGGAAGGTTGCTTGGGGCCAGGAGCTGGAGATTAGCCTTGGTGATGTAGGGAAACCTCTTCTCTACAAAAAAAAAAAAAAAAAAATTAACCAGGCATAGTGGTGCATGTCTGTGATTCCAGATACTTGGGAGGCTGAGGTGGGAGAATCATTTGAGACCAGGAGGTGGAGGTTGCAGTGAGCCATGACTGTACCACTGCAGTCTTGGGTGACAGAAAGAGACTCTGTGTCCAAAAAAAAAAAAAAAGTAGGAGGGATAGATGAAGCAAGGTTCCATGTATATGTGCATGCAGGACTGAGGCAAGGAGGGTGAACAGCATGTCTCACTATGCGCAGGATTCTCCCAGGTTTAGCAAGGGAAGTCCTATATCCCAGGAACACTTTTAGTCCTGGCAGTAAAACTGAAAGTCCTGGATCCCAGAAATCTCCTGGATGCTAAACAAACTGGGACAGCTAGTCACCGTAGATACACGTTTGTCTCAAAACAGAAGTACTGGTAGGGCATGGTGGCTCACACCTGTAGTCCCAGCACTTTGGGAGACTGAGGTGGGTGGATCACGAGGTCAGGAGATCGAAATCATCCTGGCCAATATGGAGAAACCCAGTTTCTACTAAAATATGAAAAATTAGCTGGGTGTGGCGGCATGCACCTGTAGTCCCAGCAGCTCGGAAGGCTGAGGCAGGGGAATTTCTTGAACCCAGGAGGCGGAGGTTGCAGTGAGCCAAGATTGCGCCACTGCACTCCAGTCTGGCAACAGAGCAAGACTCCCTCTCAAAACCAAACCAAACAAAACAAAACCAAACAAACAAACAAACAAAAACAGAAGTACTGGCCAGGCACAGTGGCTCATGCTTATAATCCCAGCACTTTGGGAGGCCGAGGCGGGAAGATCACCTGAGGTCAGGAGTTCGAGACTAGCCTGGCCAACATGGTGAGACCCTGTCTCTACTAAAAATGGCAAAATCAGCTGGGTGCAGTGGCACCTGTCTGTAATCCCAGTTACTCGGGAGGCTGAGGCAGGAGAATCGCTTAAATCCAGGAGGCGGAGGTTGCAGTGAGCTGAGATTGTGCCACTGCACTCCAGCCTGGGCAATAGAGCAATATTCTGTCAAAAAAAACCCCAAAAAAACAAAAAAACCACCCACAACAGAAGTACTGCACAAACTGGACTAGGGAAGAGATCAGAAATGTTTGCGGATTGACCCCTAAACGCCCAGGAGCCTGTAGCCGAGCCCCCGCTTCCTCCCACCCCCCGGTAGGGTGGGCTACCCAAGGAGAGATGGAAGCACTTACTCAGAGCCAGGATGGGAACCGGAGCTGAGCTTCCACACGTTCACGAAGTTCAGGGTGACAGCCAGCTCCATCTCCTGCAAATTTCGACAGTGCTTAAGGCAAAAAGCAGACACTTGAATGTCTTTATTCTTGACAATTCTCAAAACAGCTTTATGATAACTATCTAGGGCTTGGCACATGAAGGCTTCCTCCTGGATTTCATGCAGACAGTAGAATAACTGTGGAACCCCACAGCACGGAGGAGGTGGGTCACATTTATGCAACCGAGGGATGACTTTCAGCAGTTTCCTCTTGTTTCCAAAAGACACCCTGCATCTGAACGAGTGTTCCACGATGGGAGTGCAGGCCCTGTTTAGAAGGCCGAATAAGAAAAGCCCCATGTGTGAGAGAGAGTGTTTGCCTCCGCAGTAACCCGCTAGCAGGTGCTGGATATTTGCGTGGTTCAAAACATGAAAGTTTTTGAGTCTTTGTGGGAAACAGAGAACATAAAACAAGGCCGCAAAAAAGTCCTGAAAAATCAAGAGGGTAAAGGCATAGCGGTCCTCCTCAGCTGCAATTCTCCGAAGAATATTCACGCCAAGGAACGTGGCGACTCCCGTCTGGTCCATCTTTGCTCTTTCGAGATCTTTTTTACCAAACATGCATTTTCTGTGCCACACACCATCTGCGGCCAAGCCACACAGACCTTCTAGCTGTTGGAGGTGGGTCCTTCTGGAAAAGTTCTCAGCTCTGATTGATAACAAGCTAGAAAGATACCTGACGAACACAGAGGTGGCGTTTGGACATGCCTGTGTGAGCTCGTGTCCTCTCTCCATTTGCTGTTTCAGACAAGAACAGACCATCCAGCAAACCACAGGGACCTGACACATGGAGAAGAGAATGGTGTTTTCCATGGCAAAACTCAAGACGTCCTCTCCCTCCTTCGTGTGTCCAAAATAGGCCCGGAAATACTTGATTTTTTCCGTCGTATTAAACCCCGTAAGGGTTACGAGAGAGGGAGACTTCAGCAAGGGCTGAAATGTCTGCCAAGAGGTAGATCTTATCATGATCAGCAGCGTGGCCTCTGGAAGCATACTTTTGTTCAGCAAACTGCTCAGCAGGACAGACCCAGGCAATTTCTTCCTCCAGTCTTCACTCAGATCCTCCGATCTGTCAATGAGGGCAGATGTGAAGTCTTCAAAGCCATCCAAGAGGAGCAGAAGCTGGTCTGGTTTGGACATAATCTTTGACACGAGGTCCTGAGATCCGGGCCACCTGTGCTGCATCAGCTCCGAGAAGCTCTGCTCCGCTGTCTGGTTCATCTCTTGGCAATGGAAGTAGAAAGCGCACCAGGGCTTGTGGGCGTAGAACTTGTTTCTGGCCCACTCACACATCACCCTTTTGGCCAGGGTTGTTTTTCCAATCCCAGGAGCTCCCTGGATGACCACGGTCCTGGGCTGCCTACCCTGCGGTCTCCTGGGCAGAAGCAGACACGGTAAGTACTCCTCATGTCTGCACACGCCTTGGTACAAGAAGTCCCTGCAGTTTCCGGGCCACGTTGAATTGTCCCATATGGGAGAACACTTTTCTATCACGTTCCATTTGTAGTGCCATATTTTATCTAGATTTGTGAGAGGAGAGAAATAAAGGGTGCAACATTAGAATTGATTGTGGGAACTAACAGAGCAGTAAGAAAACCACCTCAGCCGGGCGCGGTGGCCCACGCCTATAATCCCGGCACTTTGGGAGGCTGAGGTGGGCGGATCACCTGATGTCAGAAGTTCGAGACCAGCCTGACCAACATAGTGAGACCGCATCTCTACTAAAAATACAAAAAATTAGCTGGGAGTGACAGTGGGAGCCTGTAATTCTAGCTACTCAGGAGGCTGAGGCAGGAGAATCACCTGAACCCAGGAGACGGAGGTTGCAGTGAGCCAAGGTTATGCCACTGCACTGCAGCCTGGGCCACAGAGTGAGAACTCCATCTCAAAAAAAAAAAAAAAAAAAACGGTAAAAAGAAAAAAACACCAGTCTCGGGGTCCACTTGAAGCCCTGTGAGGCCCTTGCATAAGTGAAATACATTTCCTGATGCTGCTGCATCATTTAGGAAGGAGCAACGAACAGAAAACTCAACTTGAAATGCCTTAAACAAACAAGGACTGCCTTCTATACAAGAAGCCTGGCGGGCGTAAGGCTGTTGAAATTCGGTCGAGTGGCACCATAGTTTCAGGACTGGCAGCATCACAATTCCCTCAGCCCTTTCTTTGTATGTCTTGCCTCACAGAGAGAAGACACCTGCTATAGTGTTAGCTGTGTTGTCTGCATTCAAATCAGAAATACTTGGGAGGCCCGGGTGCCGTGGCTCATGCCTGTAATCCCAGCATTTTGGGAGGCTGAGGGGGGTGGATCGCTTGGGGTCAGGGGTTCAAGACCATCCTGGCCAACATGGCAAAACCCGATAGGGCTGGGCACATGTTATTCATAAATAAAACTGGGTTCTGTTAACACAGAAGGTAGAATTGTTTGGGCAAACAGTTAATAAGATCTATCACAAACCTTCATCCCAATTTGTTATTCTTCTTCCCTACCTCTCTCCTTCCCTCAACTATAAACTTCACAAAGACAGAGACGATGCCTGGTTCTCACTAGATCCCTGGCTGACAGGTAGGAGAAGGCTTTCTAGAGGCCCAAGGTCTATTTATTATTAGCTTAAAGACCTTGAGCCAGTCAGACTCTCTAAGCCTCAATCTTGCCATGTCTAAAAATACAAAAATTAGCTGGGTGTGGTGGTGCACACCTGTAATCCCAGCTACTCAGGAGGGGGAGGCAGGAGAATTGCTTGAACCCAGGAGGCACAGGTTGCAGTGAGCTGAGGTCACGCCACTGCTCTCCAGCCTGGGTGACAGAGTGAAACTGTGTTTAAAAAAAAAAAGAAAAAAAGGGCCGGGCACGGTGGCTAATGCCTGCAATCCCAGCACTTTGGGAGGCTGAGACAGGCGGATCATGAGGTCAAGAGATTGAGACCATCCCGGCCAACATGGTGAAACCCCATCTCTACTAAAACACAAAAATTAGCTGGGTGTGGTGGCGCACACCTGTAGTCCCAGCTACTCAGGATGCTGAGGCAGGAGAATTGCTCGAACCTGAGAGGCGGAGACTGCAGTGAGCCAAGATCACGCCACTGCACTCCAGCCTGGTGCCTGGTAACAGAGTGAGACTCTGTCTCAAAAAAAAGAAAAACCTGGGAGAAGAGACACACTCTATTGAAGCGGTCCCCAAGTGGCACGTAAGTTTTCCATGGACCAGGTGGCGGGAGGTGATTTGGGGATGATTCAAGTGCATTACATTAGCATGCACCTTAGTTCTCTTATTATTACATTGTTATATATAATGAAATAATTATACAATTCAGTATGACGTAGAGTCACTGGGAACCTTGAGCTTGTTTTCCTGCAAACAGACAGTCCCATCCAGGGGTGATGGGAGACAGTGACAGATCATCAGGCATTAGATTTTCAGGAGCGCACAGCCTAGATCCCTTGCGTGTGCACAGTTCACGACATGGTTTGGGTTCCTATGAGAATTTAATGCCACTGCTGATCTGACAGGAGGTGGAGCTCGGGGGTTATGTGAGTGATGGGGAGAAGCTGTAAGTACAGAGGAAGCATTGGCCACTCACCTCCTGTGTGTGGCCCAGGTCCTAACAGTCACAGACTGGGACTGGTACATGGCCCAAGGGCTGGGGACCCCTGAGCTAATGGTTTGTGTCTTTTTTTGAGAAAGAGTCTTACTCTGTCACCTGCGAATGCAGTGGCATGATCTCAGCTCACTGCACCCTCCACCTCCCATGTTCGAGCCATTCTCCTGCTTCAGCCTCTGGAGTAGCTGAGACTACAGGCACCCACCACCATGCCTGGCTAATTTTTGTATTTTTAGTAGAGATGGGGTTTCACCATGTTGCTCAGGCTGGTCTTGAACTCCTGACCTCAGGTGATCCACCCGCCTCAGCCTCCCCAGGTGCTGGGATTACAGGTGTGAACCACCATGCCTGGCCTCTTTTTGCTTAAGTTCTGATTGTAGAAGAGACACTGGGTATGGTAACTTACAATCTGCCTTGTGTTAGGAACTGAGCAGCTCAACCCAATCCACAGCCCATTTTTCCACCAGAGGGTCTGTTATGACGCAGACACATACCAGATTCTTTTTCCTGCAGATTCACTTGTGTTTCTGCTGCATTCAAGTCCCCTAGCTCCAAGGTAGGTAGAATGTCTGGAACAGAGAAAAGGAGGCTGTCCCATGGGAATGATAGGACCTTCGTAGCAGGGACAGCATGAGCCAATGGCCGTTTTAAGGCAGGAGAGGCCACAGGGATGAAGAGTCTCACCCTCTCACCACCTCTGTTCAGGGAGAGTGATTTTAAGTCTGTGGTAGGATGTGTACAGGTTCTATGCAAATAGGATGCCATTTTATATGAAGGAGTTAAACACCCACGAATTTTTTCAGTACCCTTGAGGAAGAGCCTGGAATCAATCCCCCAAGAATACCAAGGCACCTCTAGTTTAATAAGTATGTGTGCACATATGTGTACGTACATGTGTCTAACTATGTATACACATACACATGTAGTCATTGATTCTTGTTACGTATGGCAGTTCTGCCCTGTAACATTCTTGTGAACGCCACATTAGCTAATACTGAACCATTGCTCCCAAGAAAATACATGGTTCGTTTCCTGCTAATCTCTGGTTACTAGATTTTCATTGACTAATCAATAGAAAAACTTGTTTCACACATGTTTTTGTTTAAAGACACCTTATTTAGTATATATTGTTGATTAACATTGAGTTCATGGCCGACCACACCTGAAGGAAGCTCATCTAACAGGTGTGTTCTCTCCCTAAGGCACGGCACAGCCTACTTGCCCTGAGAAACACTGAAATGCACACTTCTGAGTGCTACTTTAAACAGCAAAGCCACCAACTCAAAGCACAAAACTGTGGCACCAGATAGACGTGGAAATGACTGTGGCTTACAGGGTGAGAGCTGAAGCCAGAAGGTAGAGCGTCGCCTTGTCTGACCTCAGCTGGGAAGTCAGCTCAATGTTTCTGCCGCTTTGCTTCCTGGGAGTGATCTTGCAAGTGCTGTCAGTTATCGATTTTGGGGTTAAAAATGCATTTTAGTGAGTAGGCAAATTCACGAATACAGAATCCATGAATAATGAAGATCAAGTGTGTCTGTGTGTGTGTCTGTGTGTGTGTGTGTGTGTTCTGACACAAAGTTTTGCTTTTGTCACCCAGGCTGGAGTGCAGTGGCGTGAACTTGGCTCACAGCAACCTCCACCTCCTGGGTTCAAGCGATTCTCTTGCCTTAGCCTCCCGAACAGCTGGGATTACAGGTGCCTGCCACCACATCCAGCTAATTTTTTTTTTTTTTTGTACTTTTAGTAGAGACAAGGTTTTATCATGTTGGCTGGGCTGGTCTCAAACTCCTGACCTTAGGTGATCTGCCCGCTTCCCCCTCCTAAAGTGCAGGGATTTCAGGAATCAGCCACCAGGCCCGGGCTCTCTGTGTGCTTTCATCAGGTTTTAGTAAACATTAACATTTTCTGTTAAACACTAAGATTTTCTCTATCACTGAGCCATGAGGTTTCCGTCCCCTCTGATTTTCCTTTCCATTGACACTCTCTCCTCCTCACATGATCAGCTATTTCCTCATGTGTTAGGTCCGAACCTTAGCGCCACTTCCTCAAAGAGGACTTCCTGGGCTGCCTTATCAGAAGAAAGTCCCTTTTCGCAATCAAGTATTCTCTAGCCATCTAATATTTGAGCACCGATGACACGCTAGGTGCTGAGCCAGCTGCTGGGGTGACAGTGGCTAAGGAGACACAGGGCAGCCACCCTCCTACTGCTTACGTTTAAAATTGTGGAGCTGATGTCTTCTCCATTTTTGCTGATGAGACGGACTCCTTACAGCATCAGCTATTGGGAGAGGTGGGTTCATATCTTCTGTCATGTTTCTGGATTTGTGTACTTTTTAAAAAATACAGTAGTCCCCCCTTCTCTGCAGGGTTTAGATTCCAAGATCCCTAGTGAATATCTGAAACTGTGCATAGTACTGAACCATACAGATGCTGTTTTTAAGATACATACCTAGGCCGGGCACATTGGCTCACACCTGTAATCCCAGCACTTTGGGAGGTTGAGGCAGGTGGATCACCCAAGGTCGGGAGTTTAAGACCAGCCTGGCCAACATGGTGAAACCCTGTCTCTGTTAAAAATACAAAAATTAGCCAGGCTGGTGGTGTGCACCTGTAATCCCAGCTACCTGGGAGGCTGAGGCTGGAAAACTGCTTGAACGCAGGAGGTGGAGGTTGCTTGCAGTGAGCTGAGATCGCACCACTGCACTCCAGACTGGGTGAGAGAATGAGACTCCATCTCAAAATAGAAAAAATAAACAACGCAATCAAGAGAGTAATGAGTAAAATATTGAGAAAAGACTTTAAAAGGTATTAGGTTCTGAAAATTACAGAGGATAAAGTTGTCTGGNAAAAACATACCTACCTATGATAAAAGTTTAAATTATAAATGAGGTACAGGAAGAAATTAACAATAATAATGAAATAGAACAATTATAATACTCTACTATTATAAATGGTATGTAAATGTGGTCTCTCTCTCTCTCTCTCAGAATATCTCACTGCAGGCCAGTCACGGTGGCTCATGCCTGTAATCCCAGCACTTTGGGAGGCCAAGGAGGGTGAATCACAAGGTTAGGAGATCAAGGTCATCCTGGTTAACATGGTGAAACCCCATCTCTACTAAAATTACAAAAAATTAGCCAGGCGTGGTAGCACGTGCCTGTAATTCCAGCTACTTGGGAGGCTGAGGCAGGAGAATCGCTTGAACTGAGGAGGCGGAGGCTGCGCTGAGCCAAGATCGCACCACTGCACTCCAGCCTGGGCGACAGAGCAGGGCTGGAGTGCAGTGTACAAAAAATAAATACATACCTACCTATGATAAAAGTTTAAATTATAAATTAGGTATAGTAAGAGATTAATAAAATAGAACAATGATAATACTCTACTATCATAAATGGTATGTAAGTGTGGTCTCTCTTTCTCAGAATATCTCACTTTACTGTACTCACCTATTTTTGGCCATGATTAACCATAGGTAACAAATTTCAGAAAGCAAAACCTTAGATAAGGGGACTAGTGTAGTCCAGCTCTGCTTTATACATATTGAAGATGAGGTTTAGGATTACAATATTCTCTTGTGGGACTGACCCTTTGTTGCTGCAAGATGGCCTTTAAAATCTTTAACCCTCTTGCTTTGTATATAACACTGTGGACATCACACTAGCTATACCAGCTTTCTTCTGCCTACTGTTTCCACAGCACACGTTTTTCCACTATTTTACTTTTTACTTCTCTATGTCTTCTTTTTTTTTGTTTGTTTGAGACACGGTTTTGCTCTTGATGCCGGGGATGGAGTGCAACGGCAGATCTTGGCTCACCACAACCGCCACCTCCTGGGTTCAAGTGATTCTTCTGCCTCAGCCTCCCAAGTAGCTGGGACTAGAGGCACCTGCTACCACGCCTGGCTAATTTTTGTATTTTTAGTAGAGATGGGGTTTCTCCATGTTGATCAGGCTGGTCTTGAACTCCTGACCTCAGGTGATCCACCCACCTCAGTCTCCCAAACTTCTGGGATTACAGGCATGAGCCACTGTGCCTGGCCCTCTATGTCTTCACTTAATGTTCATGTCATATAAGCAGTATTCACTTAAGTTATTTTAAAAAAAATATGCCCACATGGCAGCCTTTGCCTTTGGGTTGGATCCGTTATCTGCCTCCACTGTTTGCATTTTCTCCCAGATGGCCAGTAGGTGACAGGGGTAGTGAGTAGAATATTTAGTTAGCTGCCCAGCAGCCAAGCCCACCCCCACTTTATCCACCAGATCAACACTCACCATTCATCTCCCTGTGTACCCAAACCCACATGTTATCATAGTTCATCATGGCAAAGATTTTGCAAGTCATATCCCAAGCTCGCCGTCCAGGAAAATGCTCTATCAAGAGATGAACCACCTCTGCCCAGCTGGCTGTCTCGACCTGGTCCCAGGTGACAGGGACGGTGCCAGCATTGAGCTCATTCAGTAAGAACTGCTTGAACCATTGTAGCTCCTCCTTGCTCACATGCTTCATGTACAGCATGACCCCATTTTCACACGGGGAGCCAGGGTAGCAAGACAATGTCCAGGGTGAAAGATAAGAACTGTGAGTGGAGGGGGACGAAAAGGGAGTGGGGGTGTCAGAGGGTGGATTCACATCACTCATCTTTAGTCAAGGCAGAGAACACCTCGGCGTCCACGATAAAGACAACCAGTCAGAAGAGAGAAACATGAGACCTGCGGAGACATAGAACAATAAAACAAGAAGATGAAAACACCACCCAAGAGGACAGATTTATTTAGTGCTTACTTGGCAGAGCATTCTGTGTGCCAGGTACTCCCTTTACCTCCTTTCTTCAAAGATTCTCTGCCCTATGGAAAACCTGATGATGCATTGAGTGTTTGGGATTGGTCTGTTAGACTAATGGACTGTTTGTTGTTTTTATTCTCTATGCCTCCTTTTGGGAAAGAGGCAAGCAAAATATCAAAGCCTTCATAAAAGGTTTAGCAAAAAGGAAAAATAGAGGCAGGTAAAATAATTCAATGAAGCTAAAATCTGGAAAATATATGGTTGGTTAGAAGACTCCATGAGATTAAACATGATTTCAAATTGAACAAAGTTTTTATTCGTAAAAAATGGATCATGCATTAGAGAAATGCAAATCAAAACCACAATGAGATGCCATCTCACACCAGTCAGAATGTGATTATTAAAAAGTCAAACAACAGATGCTGGTAAGGTTGCAGAGAAAAAAGAACACTTATACACTATCTGTGGGAGTGTAAAGTAGTTCAACTATTGTGGATGACAGAGTGGCAACTCCTCAAAGACCTAAAAAGAGAATTACCATTCAATTCAGCAATCCCATTACTGGATATATACCCAAAGGAATATAAATAATTTTACTCTAAAGACATATGCGTGTGTATGTTCATTGCCGCACTATTCACAATAGCAAAGACATGGAATCAACCTAAATGCCCATCAGTGATAGAATGGATAAAACAAATGTGGTACAAATACACCCTTGAACACTATGCAGCCATAAAAACAATGAGACCATGTCCTTTGCAGGAACATAGATGGAGCCAGAGACCATTATCCTTAGCAAATTAACAGAGGAACAGGAAGCTGAATACCACATGTCCTCATTTATAAGTGGAAGCTAAATGATGAGGACACATGGACGCAGAGAGGGAATACCACACACTGGAGCCTATTGGAGGCTGGAGGGTGGGAAGAGGGAGAGGATTAGGAAAAATAACCAGTGGGTACTGAGATTAATACCTGGGTGATCAGATCATCTGTACAACAAACCCACCCACATAACACATTTACCTATATGACAAACCTGCACATCTATTCCTATTTCTAAAAGAAACATTAAAAAAGGGAAAAAAATGATCATGGGTGTGTTTTTGTCCCCCTCACCCCAACTTCCCGTAATAGCTTCTTATTTTATTTCTTATTTATTTATATAGTCTGAGATGGAGTCTCACAGCAGCCCTCAGGCTGGAGTGCAATAGTGCGATCTCGGCTCTCTGCAACCTCTGCTTCCTGGGTTCAAGCAATTCTCCTGCCTCAGCTTCCCAAGTAGCTGAGATTTCAGGCACCCACCACCACACCTGGCTAATTTTTTTGTATTTTTAGTAGAGACAGAGTTTCACCATGTTGGCCAGGCTGGTCTCAAACTCCTGACCTCAAGTGATCCACCTACCTCAGCCTCCCAAGGTGCTGGGATTACAGGCATGAGCCACCGTGCCTGGCCAATACCTTCTAATTTAACACTTTCCCCCTTTATAACTTATTTGACACCCAAGCCCCTGGATAAACTTGTTTAATCGACTCAGTCTTCCCGTGAGTCCAGAGTAGCTGGGCTTGCTCCCCGGACAAAGGTGAAGGGCACCTGGGAGGCTGACTCTTGCTAGTGCTCCTCCCGTCCAGTGGGTGGCGCTGCATGGAGGCGCCTAACCCAGTCACATATTTTCTACCTCTATTTACTGCATGACCATTGCTGACCATGTTCCAGCCATGGTGAGCTGCGGCTTTAAGAAATTTGCAGGGCTGGCTGGGCCCGGTGGCTCACGCCTGTAATCCCAGCACTTTGGGAGGCCAAGGCAGGTGGGTCACTTCAGGCCATGAGTTCAAGACCAGTCTGGCCAACGTGGTGAAATCCTGCCTCTACTAAAAATACAAAAATTAGGTGGGTGTGGAGGCGCGCACCTGTAATCCCAGCTACTTGGGAGGCTGAGGCAGGAGAATCGCTTGAACCTGGGAGGCAGAGGTTGCAGTGAGCTGAGATCGCACCCCTGTACTCTAGCCTGGGTGACAGAGCAAGACCCTGTGTCAAAAAAGAAACAAGAAAGAAAAGAAGGAAGGAAGGAAGGGAGGAAGGGAGGGAGGGAGGAAAGAGGGAAAGAAGGAAGGAAGGAGAAAGAAAGGAAATTTGCAGGGCCAGGGAGGATGTTGACAATTACTTCATTGTTTTGTTTTACTCTCATTCACTGCTGAAGGGAACATAAGCAGGGGGAAGCACTCTGAAAGTCCTTTTAACAATATCTACCAATCATGTGTGTGCTGCCAGGGAACCCAGTGGTTCTACTTCTAAAACTGCACCCTACAGATATATGTGCATGTGCCATAGGCATAAGCCAGTCCGTCTTAGTCTGTTTGGACTGCTGTAACTAACACCATACACTGAGTGGCTTATTAACAACAGACATTTATTTGTCCCAGCTCTGGGGGCTAGAAGTCCAAGATCAAGGTGCTGGCAGATTGAGTGTCTGGTAGGAGCAGCACACAAAAAATTAGCTGGGCATAGTGGCAGGTGCCTGTAATCCCAGCTACTAGGGAGGCTGAGGCACAAGAATCCTTTGAACCTGGGATGCGGAGGTTGCGGTGAGCTGACAACAGGCCACTACCTTCCAGCCTGGGTGGGGAAAAAAAAATAATTACATTCCATGAATCCTTTTTTGTCCATTCTACCAAGGAGAAAAGTGAAGCTGAACTAAGTTAAGTGCATTCAGCCCAAGCTGTGAGTGTTGGGAACTGGCACTTGGAACCTGATGGGATTCCTAAGCCCAGGAGCCGAGCAGTGGGGGTGAGAGACACCTGCCGTTTTTGAAGAGGAATGCTTGCAGAGGGCATCTCAAAGTCAGCGCTGCTTAATTCTGGAGGCTTCTCTGCACCTTGCTGTTTCTTCTTTGTGTCTACAGCGATCGTGATTTTTTTCTGAATGCATCAGCCAATGGCGACCCTAGACCTCTGGACACCTGGAGACGCCACAACGTCTCTTTCAGGTCTTAGGATTTTGCGAGTGCTGTGAGTTACCTGACTCCACTTTGGAGTCAGGAAAGCTCAGTTTCAGAGACTGGCAAGGGTTTTATGAATGAGGGTGGGTAACGTTCACTGTTGAATCTCTAGCGCTCCTGATTTTCAATATGGGCCCACCGGGTGCGGCCAACTCAAGTGTCTGCCATTGTAACTGTCAGGACGTGGATGACGAGGAAGAGTAGGTTGAAGAGAGAAAGGAACAACACAAAACAGCAACACAGAACTCACCCTGCAGAGAATTACTCTTCCTAGCTCCTTCCTGTCAAAGCAGAAATCACTTGGTCTGCCCCACCCCCCAACCCTTATAGGTGCTGGGGAATTCAGGAAACTGGTAACTTCTCGTCCCATTGGCCGGGGCTGGCTGGCTAGAATTCCTCTGCATTGCCCTGATTGGGAAGCATGTAGCGCCCTTGATTCAGAATTAATGGGCTGCAGGACTTGGCCCTACAGGTGCTTCTGATTTGTGAAGGAACTTCTCCCTTGCCTCTTAGGTCGAGAAGAAGCAACAGAAAATTAAAAATTTAGAGAGCTTCCCAAGCTCATTAGAAGGCTGAACTGAGCGTCATATTCAGTCCTCAAGCACCACTTCCCATTTGGAAACATTTAGGGTAATTCACAGGCTAGTCTTGTTCACATGTTTATCTCTTCTACTTGGAATACAATTGTATTGAGCCAAAGGGGGGTCTCAGTATCATCAGGGACCGATATAGGTCCCGCATACAACAGGCCCCGTCTCAGGGAGGCCCAGAGACACAGCTTGTGGGAAAAGGAAAACTCACCAGCAGAGAGTGCAAGGGAGGTGAGGTTGGGAAGGATGGGCTTGAGGAATTAAAAAAAAAAAAACCTATAGTTGAAGGGATGAAAACCCACAAGATAACCAACTTTATCAAGTTTGTATCAACTCATGATAGAATATCAGCAGTTTTTATGTATGAGTTTAAAATTTTATTTTATTTTATTTTATTTATGTATATTTGAGACAGGGTCTTGATCCATGGCCCAGGATGAAGTGAAGCGCTGCGATCATACCTCACTGCAGCCTCGGCTTCCTGGGCTCAAGGGATCTTCTGCCTCAGCCTCTGGAGTAGCAGCGTTACATAAAAGGGGTCCCAGTCCAGATCCCCAGAGAGGGTTCTTGAATCTTGTACAAGAAGGAATTCAGGGCGAGTCCAAAGAGTATAGTAAAATCAAGTTTATTAGGAAATAAAGGAATTAAAAAATGGCGATTCCGTAGACAGAGCAGCCCTAGAGGCTGCTGGTTGCCCATGTTTACGGTTATTTCTTGATGATATGCTAAACGAGGGGTGGATTATTCATGCCTCCCCTTTTTAGACCATCTAGGGTAACTTCCTGATGTTGCCATGGCATTCGTAAACTGTCATGGCACTGGTGGGAGTGTGGCAGTGAGGCTGACCGGAGGTCACTCCCGTCACTGTCTTGGTTTTGGTGGGATTTGGCCGCCGTCTTTACTGCAAGCTGTTTTATCAGCAAGGTCCTTATGACCTGTATCTTGTGCTGACCTCCTATCTTATCCTGTGACTTAGGATGACTTAACCATCTGGGAACGAAGCCCAGTAGGTCTCAGCCTCATTTTACCCAGCTCCTATTCAAGATGGAGTCGCTCTGGTTCACACGCCTCTGGCATAACTCACTGCAGCCTCGGCTTCCTGGGCTGAAGGGATCTTCTGCCTCAGCCTCTCGAGTAGCAGCATTACTCAAGAGACCATAGCTACATGCCAGCACTCATGGCTAATTTTCTGTAGAAACGAGGGTATCACTATGTTGTCCAGGCTGGTCTTGAACTTCCGGCCTCAAGTAATCTCCTGCCTCAG